TGCTTTCTACTAACCTAATACAGTTATGAAATGTGTTGACATAATACATTTCATTCAAGTCAACGTTCCAGTTTTTCGGTGTGTTTTTGTTGACTATCTTAAGCAAAAAAAGGAAAAGGACTTGAAATTGCCTTCAAAGTTTGGCCAGTTTGGGATGGTTGATCAGGTTTGATCAGATACAAGCTTGGATTTTGGTGGAAGAGTGATAGCTTGAAGATTAGACTGCTGACTTCAAATGTGAAAGTTTGAAATGAATGCCCACCTCAAACATATTTGGAGTAAAAATCCTTTTTTTTTTTAAATCAACACTAAAGACACACTTCTTCTCCCTGGCCTTCTAGTCAGAGCGGAGCACGACTCATGACATTTCCCTGTGTTTGATCTTTATATTTGCTGTTGTAATTTATTGTCTTCTGTTTTGCGATTGTAGTAATGTGTTATTTATTATTTGCATGTACAACACTTTGGCTCGACCAACAATCGTTTTAAAATGTGCTTTATAAATAAAACCTGATTTGATTTGATTTGATTTTCTATTTGCCATTGTTTGTATCATGCTCAAGTTGATGGTAAACTTTGTTCTTCCGTGAGTCAGGCAGGAGCGTTCAACCACGAAGGGAATCGAACTTTGCTCAACTTTTGTGAACATACACTGCAGCTCAGACACATTGATTTAATATGTTACTGATACCGGCCACTATGGGGTTTAAACACATGCACTTTGTCCTTGGTTCAGCTAACTGAAAACTACAAGTGATCCGACTCATGAAGATAACTGAGATAGTATTGAATAAACAACGTATTGACACCTCCTAGCCTATTAAGTATTAATGCAGTTCCGGGAACTAAAGAGTTCTGATGAACTAAGTACTGGGAACTAAGTACGGCAAAGTACTTGGTGTGAAAGCGCCTAATAGGGAAAAGTATTTCTGGGCCCAGTGACGTCAGGGACTGATACGGAAATTGTAGTACCGCCGTTTGGACACAACGAATATTTTCATCAGAGTCCGGCGCACTTCCTGGGTGCTTGTGCGAAACACACCAAGTAGGGCGACAGGACGCTCATCGACGGCCCGACATCTATTGACGGCCGAAATCGGCTTGGTGTGTCAGGGCCTTTAGGCTAAATGTTTTAGAGCAGTGCTATTGCTCTTAAACTCTTACAGCCTTTATATAAACAAACACAAAAATAACAAAATGAGAACTCAATACATTCTCATCACTGCCTCATTTTTTGAGTCAGGAAAACTTTATTGGCAATCTACATTCTCAGTTAGAGCTGAATGGAACTCCATCCCAACAACCAAGAGAACAACATTCAGGTTGTTAAGAACTGAGTCAAAGACATTGTGTTATGACTCAGATCTGTCTTCACTTTGTAATGTCTACAGTCCTCTCTCTGTGCTGCTGTCACCTGTTGCTATTTGGGTTTATTTTAATTGGCATGCATCTGTATTGCAAGATTGTAATGATTGTATTAACTTTAAATTATTTAAAATATTATATATACATACGTATACCTATTCGTTTTTAGGGTGACTTTGTCCCTGTTAAATAAACTAACCTATAAAGGAAATAAAAACAGACCAAATGCTAAACTGTGATGAGCAGTGCACTTCAGTGTAAACTGCTATCTGTCTCACTCCGGTATGAAACGTGTTGTAATATATCAGATCAGAATGATCAGATGCTCTGAAGGCTCTCCTTCCTCATGATGGCCAAAGAGAGTAACAACATATTCACCTAGGACATAATAAATACACAGAGCTCACTAAATAAACAGATGTCCATGTTCTGATTGCTATACAGTACAATACAGTTTGAACAAGTTCAGTTCCAGGCAGCTACTGTACATAGATGTGTCTTCCAGAGGAGCAGATCTGCAGACAGGATTTGTTCTAAAAACCTCTCCAAGCCCCTCTTCCTGCCAGAGCCATGAGTCCAGAGCTCAAGAGGTTGCATCATTAGTGAGGAAAGTGTCTGCTGAACGCCTTGATCAAGACTTCATGTGGGAGGTGTGAAAATGTGAGCTCCAGCAGTTAGGAAACTGCAACTCTGCTCCCCTACAGAACTGACTCCTTCAGTAACACAGTGGGGGGGTTAGTGGAAGCTTTGGTCACTTTATGGCTACTAGTGTTGGTCTGATTGATTCCATCAGTCTTTCCTTTAAAGGTTTGTTATTTCTCACAGTAGTGAAGGATGTGCTTCTCTATAGAGCTAAATCCTCTGTGGGCAGCCATGTGTTTCCGTGACTTCCTGTTTCTGCTTCAGTTGGGGATCACTGAGGCTGCTTGGTTCAGATCCCTGTGTTTATCTCTGACCGAGTGCCCATACTCTGCCTCTTTATATTCTACTGTTTGTTTCTCCAAGCTTTGCATGCTGTGCAGCTTTTCGGAAGACGTGGTTAACATCTTTTGTTCCTGTGTTAACACCCTCAGGGTTATGTTGTATATTGTAAATTGTTTAATGTAAATTGCATGATTTATTTTATTTGAGTTCCAAGTTTGATGAAATTGCTCAGTGCTTCTTTATGACTGGACTACATCATCTCAGTGGGCTGGGAGGGGGGGGGGGGATTGTCAACAGTGAAAGCACTGAATTAGGAGGGGGTCCATCTTCATGAGATACACGTGTAGAGCTGAACAGGAAGTGAATCTGTCATGGTTCCAGTTTTTGGTTTCCTCTTTTATTTTTGAAAAGTCTTCTCTCCTTGTGTCATGTTATTGCCCTAGTTGCACCTGTTCCTATCAGCCCCCAATGAATGAAGTGTGTATGATGGAGGTGAAGTGGCAGGAGTAGTTGGATAAGTGTGAATTTGGTTTGGTTAGTATGAATGTCATTGAGATGTTAAATAATAACCCTTATGGCTACACACAGCTATAAAAGTCCTTATGCATGAAAGTGATTGAATTGAAAGTTTGAAAGGAGTATAAATCCATAGATGAAAGTTAAAAGAGAAAGGTAAAGCAATATTTAAGTACTAACATACATTACTAATAATATAAGAAGAACATTGTTTGAATGGCTTTTCAAGCAGACTCAGGAAGATTTTTTGTTTCAGTATCTTTTTCAAGAACACTACAACAAGCTGACTTCAGAGGCTGGGATCAAAGCAGCAACCCTCTGATTAGTAGATAAGCGCATTTTATTTTATTTGTATTATAGCATGAAGGGACTACAAATGCATGTTGTGACGTTCTTTCACAGATCTGTTTACTTTTGTCTCTGCAAACTGAATGTGTTTCCGTTGCTGTGACACATTGGTCAGGCTGTCACAGGGTGTTGTGACTCACAGCTGCACGACATCACACCCCGCTCACTGCTCTGTCGTCGAGCAAAAGGTGTGAAATCTTTCCTACAGTTCACATCTGAATGTTTGTGTATCATTTCTTCCGTTCCTCTGCCTGAATAAGGGTTACAATCATGGTTCAGCGTGACACTCCAGGAATGCACAGAGAGAGAGTGATGGACGGAGATATGATACTTGTGGCTGGAGTGTGTTGTGTGAAAATGGCTCTAAATGCTTTCTAGTATGTCATTATGGAGCTATTCTAAATGGACCAGCATGCCAAGACCAATACATCTAGTGGAGATTATACTCAGAAGTATCACTGACTCTGTTACAGAGAAGCTGCAGCTCAGGATGCAGCGCTGCACTGAGATGCTTTCATAAATCTGTTTTATTTTCATTCACTGGCTTCTTTCAAATGTGTTATTGAAAGTCAAAACAGTGACCCTAAAACACTTACATACAGCACTGCACTACTGCATCACAATGAAATGGCAATGCCAGGAATATAAAGTAAGAAGAACACATTTCAGAAAACATTTTATTTGCAAATATGTTTTTTTATGTTGGCATCAGACAGAGTAAATGCACAGAGACCGATCTTCTTTGCGGGTTGATATGACCGCAAATGATCCTCCTTAGCAACGGTCATGTTATGCCTAGCAGCGGTGTGTTAGCGAGAATGAACAACCTCTGAGATGTCCAAATTGACCAATCAGAATTGAATATTCATAATAAGGCACACATGCTTGCTTGCAACCACTGGTGGAAAGTAAGCACATCTACTCGAGTTCTGTATTTCAGTACAATGTTATGTTACTTGTACTTTACTTGAGTAGGCTATTTACTTATTTTTTTATGCTCTACTACAATTTGGAAGCACCACTGTCATTTTACTCCACTACATTTATATGAGAAGAGTAGTAGTTACTTTGGAGATATATATTATTAATACAAAATATGAATAAACTGGATTAAGATTTACCTTGCAGAAAAAAAGCCATTCTGCATAATGAGTACTTTTATATTTTGAACTTTAAGTATATTTGATGCTACTACATTTTGACTTTAACTTAAGTGGTATTACAACTTGATTGTGAGCACTTCTTCCACCTGCTAAACATGTACCTGATAGCATTCTGATTGTGAGCGTGTTAGCATGCTGATGTTAGCATTTAGCTCAAAGCCCTGTTGTGAGCTAGCTGCTAGCATAGCTTCAGACCCAGGGTTGGTTTATGCTATAAAATAATAGCTTCCTACGACGTGTTCACCGACCTTTCTGATGGAATATAGTTATAGTGTATGTGTCTAGTTATGCTCTGATCAAAGGCTCCAGATTGTTCCAGGTGGATTTGAATAGTTTCGCCCAACAACTTAAAAACATCCTCTTCTTTAATTAGCAATATTGCCAACTTAGTGACTCAGAGGAATTGCTGGACACACACTGACTGATCATTTATGACCAACAAGACCAGATGTATATTTCAGTTTATTCAATAGTTTACAACACTACTTAGCTTATTCAAACAGTAGTTTGAAAGATTATGGTCATTCCTTTGCTCATCTAAGTGAGGACTTTTACCGTTTAATACCCTTAATGTTACCATGTTAAGTGTGTGTCTGTGTTTGTGTAAGTATTTACATCCAGTTAAATCTAATATTTGATCAGATGTTTATAATCTCTGACGATATATTTGTCTGTGTTCCACAGCTCCACAAATGAAAGAGAAGAGAGACACTGACCCAGATGACGAGTTAGGCCATGGAGTGCTCCATCCGACATGAAGATTTATCTGTTTTGTTACATTGTAGTAGCATGCATGTCTTAAAACCTTCCTGTGGACATGCATGTTGAAGGTGGCGTGAGTGTAAGCGGGTAGTGATGGTGCTCAACATGTCTGAGGAGGAAGTGACCAACTGTACCATCAACCATAAAGTCCACCAGTACGTCTTCTCCAGTGTGTACATTCTGGTGCTCACGGTAAGTGTGTGTGCATCTTGAATACCTCCACACAAAAATGTTAAGGTGTATGAATACTTAATAAAAGTGCACAAGTAATCGTTGAGGTCGTAAACTGACATTTCCTAAGTGCTACAAATTCTAGTTCCTCCTTGAATTCACCAATGTGCACACTTTGATGATGTGTGTACGTTTTAGCATTAGCTGCTTTTTATTTGTCAGCACTGTAATAGAATTAGGACAAATGGTGCACTTAGCCTCAGCACTCTGTAGATTACTCTGTGTTTCGGTCACTTAGCGGTCCCTAGTGAAATACAGGGGGGGAAATCCAAGCATCATTTGAAATGTTATACAGCAGCTGTTTGCGAAAGTGAAGTTTAACATCAAATTTAAACCAAAACTCATTTAGAAAATGTGCCAATAAGTCCTAAAACCCGGAAATGATTGAACATTTTAGCTCTACCCGTTTGTTAAATCAATGTTTTCTTTTGGTTTGATGCTTTAAATGGATCTTAAGAGCTTTTCTACAAAGTAGTTTTGTTCTAAAACAAATACTCCACTGGTGGATGTCTGAACCTCCAATGTGTCATAAAAACGGTTGTTGCTATCAAGTGACAAAATAAATAAAGTAATCACGACAAACACTACCCGCCTTAAGCCTAGCGGTGTGAAGTCATGTGACTGTGATGTAGTTCGTTTATAGGCTAACGTTAGATATTTACTTCTGGCTTTTGCATTCATGCTTCACAAATCCAAAAGTGGTGTTAATATGTGGAGATTATCATAATGATCAGAAGGTCTAAGTATCGTAAATGTGTGTTTGCCACAGATCAGGGAACCCTTGTGATGCTAACTTCTGGGGTTAGCCTAAAACAATGTCAGCACTGCACCACTCCCATGCACACAATGCCTTTTTAGAAACGTTCCACAATATACCTTACCTTTCTGTAAGTGTTTTGTAACCTTAACTGAACTTGCAATACTCTTACTACATGCTAAATATAACCTTGACATGTGCAGATGTTGGACAACAAAAGCCTGAATTTGAAAAATGTAGGCATTGGGCTCATAAACGTTGGTAATATGTTAGAATCATCCAACCTCAACGTTCTTGTTTAGTTGTGTAAGCAGAAGGGACGTTTTCTAGGCATGCTGCATTGTAGGAAAAACATAACTAGTGCCAGAGAATAAAATAATCACAATCATTTGTCTTCCTAATCCCAGGTTGGTATTCCCTCCAACATCTACTCTCTGTACCACGCTGCTGTGCAGCTGAAGCAGAAGAACGAGCTGGGAGTTTATCTGATGAACCTGACAGTGTCTGATCTATTGTACCTGGCATCCTTACCACTGTGGCTGCAGTACTTCTTCCAGGTAAAGTGAAACCCTGCATGTACAATGCAAATACAAAATTGTGTAGCAGTCCATTTCGATTTGCTTTTATTCCCTTTTCACCTACCTACATACCGAGACTGTAGTTTCTGTATATGAATGTGTGTTGTTGTTTACAGGATGATGACTGGAGCCACAGAGAGTGGTTGTGTCAGCTCTGTGGTTTCCTGCTCTATGAGAACATCTACATCAGCATCGGTTTCCTGTGCTGTATCAGCCTGGATCGCTACTTGGCTGTGGTCTACCCTTTAAGGTAATTACGGTTTGGTATAATAAACATATAGCTGCAGGTCTCTGCCAATGTAACATTAATCTTCTCTTTTAAGATTGAACCTTTAACCATAGTTCCTGTGTGCTACAATCAATCAATCATTGTCTCCAGGTTCACCTCCCTCCGCTCCATGCGTACAGCGTGGCTGGTGAGCTCCTTCGTCTGGCTGAAGGAGATCGCTGTGGGTGTGGTTTTCTTCCACCATAAAGAACTGAGCAAAGACATCAACAACCAATCGGTGTGCTTCGAGCACTACCCCATGCAGCCGTGGGAGTATCCCATCAACTATTACCGCTTCACTATTGGCTTCATGTTTCCTCTGGCTATTTTATCGGTATGATAACTGTTTTACTACTGTTTTACTAAAAAGTAAAATGATACAAACACATATCTTTTGATGCCGCTCTCCACTCTGTCTAAGAGGTGATGTTTGTAAAGCAATTGACCTGAGAATCTTGGGAAAATAACAAATGGCATATAATTAGCAAAAGTAAGCTTGCTTTCTTCACAAGATCTGCCTTCAGCAAGGTGATCTTGGGTAAAGGAATATAACTGAAGTCCTAATGTCCAAGCACATTTTTACTGGACACATATACATTCCAAAACTGCTAAAACCGCCTTATGTAATAAAAAAATGAATGAATTATCTAAGGTTGCTTTGTCTCTACTTAATTTACCATACAAACCTATATTTCTATCTACAGAAATGCAAACCCATGTAAAAAGAAGTTGTTGAAAAACACGTGTTTTTTTTTAGAGAGGACGAAGACAGGATTATGATATGTAAATGTGTTATCTTGACCCTGATGCTGTCCAGATCAGCTACCTGTGTGTTCTGCGCGCCGTGGGTCGGAGCGCCGGGACGCAGCCAGATCAGAAGACCAGGATCAGGCAGCTGGTCGGCAGCACCATCCTCATCTTCCTCGTCTGCTTCTCCCCCTACCACGTCTTCCTGTTGGTACGCACCATGCTGGAGCGAGACTGCAACTTCATTGCAGGTACAGTTTCTTTTTTGAAAAGTAATCCAGTAACGTTTTTGCCGAAACAGACTAACTTTGGTCTGTTTTCTTATTTTTCAGGAATATTTAACTACTACCACCTGTCATTGTTGCTGACCAGTCTGAACTGTGTGGCGGACCCCGCTCTGTACTGCTTCGTGAGCGAGAGCGCCCGCCGCGGCCTGTACAGAGTCGTTTTCAGGCCTATTGGTAGGATACTGTGTTGCTGCTGCCGCTGTGGCAACGCCAGCCCCAGCAACCCCCCCACAGACTCCAACGAGGTCGCCACCGACGAGAACAATGGACATCCAACGGTGATGCTGCTCACACACACAAAGACGCCCAACAATTTAGAAAAAGAAACTTCCAGCAAAAAGACGATTTTAATCACACAGACTGGAGAAAAAACGACTATACGCTTAGTTGTAAATGGACACTCTGACAAATGTGTGGACAGTGATGGGGAGCCCAGCTGTGTGATAGCCGTGAATGAGCAGAGCCAAAAGACCAAAGAGATTGAAAAGAACTCTATCTAAATCAATCCGAGAGCAATCAGAGACCTTAGAGGCCGAACAGCAGCGGCCCTAATGAAAGCCTGCTGCCGACCCAAATCTGTTTACACCCCCCCAATGGCTTTGGACTGAAAGCATTTTTCTTCTTCTCTCTCTGGGGCAATTCTACTGAGCTTTGATACAACAGTATATGAGAGCTCAACATGAATCTGAGGTCCAATTTGCCTCTCTACTGGAGTTGTACTTAATTACCTTGAATGAATTGGGCATTTCCATAGCAAACCCTTAAGCTGGTACGCGGTAAAACGGCTTTACGCTGATGTTAACCTTGTGTTTCTATGGAGAGTGCGATGCCGCCCGACTAGGTGGAATAGCTATACTTGGAGTCGATACCATACAATTACCATAACGTAACTTGTTAAACCACAGTATTAAAACAAAAAGTGCCATGTGCAACCACAATAGATCAGATAACTCTAAGTTTCATTCCAGTCTAGTCCGCAGGCTCTGTAAGGGTTTGCATTTCACTTGTGCTTTGTGTGTAAAAGTGACCTAAAATGTATCTTTAGGCAAGGTCTCATTGACAGTTGAGTAGAACGATATCATTGTACAGTTTGTCATGCACCCTGACCAGGGTTGGACAACATTATTCATCTTGGGAAATGTGTCACTGAGGCATGGATTCATGTCCAATACGTTTCTTTATCATTCACAGAAAAGTGTCTGATGGCAGGTTCATGTGGGACTTTGGAAATACCACAGTGTCCCGATTCAGTTCTGAGAATGGCGGCTAAACTTGAGCTTTTTATATATATATATATACGTATTTATATGAACTATATATTAAAGTTGTCTACAAACATGACATATATCTAAGACTACCAACCTCCTACTTCTTCCTCTTACGAACATTCATTGAAATGAGACTTAAGCATGACTTTGCATTGGTGTAGAAATCTTAAGCTTTAAAGCAATACTGTGTGACTTTTGCAGCTAATGTGGCCCATAATTGTCAAAAAAGGGAAAATGGAAAAAGAAGAGAGAAGAGTCCGTCAAGTCTGCAAACTGACAGGACTGTCTGTTACATAGCATAGCTAGCTAATGTGTAACACCATTACAGTGTTGTTAACATTAGCCACCAGGTAAAGCTTTACACCTATTTCATCATAAATGTTCTGCACTCGTTTTTGTGTAGTGAAGAGCCACCACTCTATCAAATCAAATCAAATCAAATCAGGTTTTATTTATATAGCACATTTAAAAGCGATTTTTGGTCGAGCCAAAGTGCTGTACATGTAATAAAAACACATTACTACAATCACAATAAACGACAATAAATTACAACAGATATATATAAAAAACAAAATAAAAATAAAAACACAAGGAAAAATCAGGAGTCGTGCTCCGCTCTAACTAGAAAGCCAGAGAGAAGAAGTGTGTTTTTAGTGTAGATTTAAAAACCCCTAGGGTCTGGGCCGACCTCCCATGGAGGGGCAGAGTGTTCCAGAGCCTAGGGCCAGCTGCTGTGAAGGCTCGGTGCCCTCGGGTTTTTAGCCTGGTCTTGGGCACTACCAGCAGCAGCTGGTCAGCAGACCTTAAAGCTCTGGCTGGGGTGTAGCGCTGGAGCAGTTCAGCTATATAGGCCGGAGCCAGCCCATTTAGTGCTTTAAAAACAAATAAAAGGGTTTTAAAATCAATTCTGAACCGAACTGGAAGCCAGTGTAGTGAGGCCAGAATAGGGGTGATGTGGTCACGCTTTTTGTGGCCAGTCAGCAAACGTGCAGCTGCGTTTTGGACTAGCTGCAAGCGTTTGATTGAGGCCTGGTCCATACCCACATACAGAGCGTTGCAATAGTCCAGTCTCGAGGTTACAAAGGCGTTAATAACCCTTTCTAAGTCATTCAAAGATAAATACGACTTGGTTTTGGCCAATAGTCTTATTTAAAAAAAGCAGGATTTGACTACGGTGCTGACCTGCTTGTCGAATTTAAAAGCGCTAGTGAAGGTCACTCCAAGGTTCATGACCGAGGGGAGGATGTTTTTTTTGAGAGAGCCCAGAATATCAACCGGAGAGGCTGGAGGTTGCGGTCCAAAAAAGATGACCTCAGTCTTGCTCTCGTTGAGGTTGAGAAAGTTTTTGCTCAGCCAGGATTTTATCTCTGTTAAGCAGTCCATCAACTGCTGTAGAGAGTGTTTGACATTTGCTTTGAGAGGCAGATAGATCTGTACATCGTCGGCGTAGCAGTGGAAGGGAATATTATGTTTTGTGAGAATTGAACCTAGGGGCAGTATGTACAGTAGAAAAAGGATGGGGCCCAGAATCGAGCCTTGGGGAACCCCACAGGTAAGAGGGGCTTTGGCAGAGGAGAAGGCACCTAGCTGTACCGAGAAGCTACGGTCTGTCAGGTAGGACCTGAACCATGCAAGGGCAGAGCCTGTAATGCCAGCGGACTGTTCAAGCCGTGACAGCAGGATGCTATGGTCCACAGTGTCAAAGGCAGCTGTCAGGTCTAACAGCACCAAGACAGCTGGGCTACCTGAGTCGGCGGCTAGGAGCAGATCATTAAAAACTCTTAAAAGAGCTGTTTCAGTGCTGTGCATGGGTTTGAAGCCAGACTGAAACTTTTCATGGATTCCATGGATGGTTAAAAAAGACTGCAGCTGGGCGTAGACTACTCGCTCCAGGGCTTTTGATAAAAAAGGTAGCTGGGAGATGGGCCTAAAATTTGCGAGAATGGAGGGGTCGAGATTTTTCTTTTTAAGTAGTGGCTGCACCACGGCATGTTTGAAGGCAGCTGGGACACATCCTGAGGTAAGAGAGGTTTTTAAAAGTAATAAAATACTTGCTCCAACTGAATCAAAAACATCTCTGAGAAGGCGAGAGGGAATGCTGTCTGAGGTGCAGTTTGTCGGCCGCAGGTGCTTGACTACATCCGAGAGAGAAGAGAGGGATACAGGCTCAAAGTGGTCGAGGACAGCAGGGTACAGAAAAGTAGCAGGATCTGGGGTAGCACTAGTGTGGGCTAGCCTAAGAGCAGATACTTTTTCAATAAAAAATTTAAGAAACTTATCACAGAGAGTAGTCGATGGGACAATAGAAGAAACATCACAGGGATTAATGATAGAGTTGAGGACATTAAAAAGAACCTGAGGTTTATGGCTGTTTTTGGAGATGAACAGAGAAATGTGCTCTGTTTTGGCTGCTTTGACTGCCGTCTGGTAGTCGGAAAGGCAAGCACGAAGGATTTCTAGGGAGACATGGAGTTTATCCTTTTTCCATTTTCTCTCTGCACGCCTGCAAGCGCAGCTGAGATCACGAGTACAGTCATTGAGCCACGGCTCTGATAGAACTTTTGTGCGTCTAAGCGTAAAAGGAGCAACAGAATCCAGTATTAGTGTACATGTCGAGTCAAACATGGAGATAAGCTCATCAGCACTAAAAGCACAGTTCACATCTAATTTACAGATCGGAGAAGCATTAAAAACATCAGAGAACTGTGAGGCAGTCAAGGGGTTAATCGAACGCAGATGACGCGCCGGGGCACGTGATTCGACTCCTGCGGAAGGGATCGAGGTTGTAAACAGAACCGGTAAATGGTCTGAGATACGCGTTGCTGCACATATTTCATCCACAGATACAGACAGTCCAAACGATAATACTAAATCCAAAGTGTGTCCTTTTTCGTGTGTTGGGCCAGCCACGGACTGAACGAGACCAAAAGAATCAAGGAGATTTAAAAAGTCCCTAACCAGAGGTTTGGACTCGCAACACACATGGACATTGAAGTCTCCGGAGATCAAAACACGATCATATTTCACCATGATCCCGGACAGAAAGTCAGAAAAGTCATTTATGAAATCCTTATTGCACTTTGGCGGACGATACACGACTGCGCAGAGTATAGGCGAGGCCGGGTTCAGTTCAAAAAGCTGCAACTCAAAGCTGGCATAGCTAGTTACAGGGTGAAGCAATCGGCATTGGAGGCTAGCTCTAAACACTGATGCTATGCCCCCACCATGGCCAGTGGCACGGGGGGAGCTGAAGAATGTACTCTAGGAACAGTTAGTGTTTCCAGTATGATAGCTCAGCAACAATACGTATATATGTATGGCACACTTATACAGAGGGGAATCACAGCACTTCTCCGCAAAGTGTCAAAAAAGTGTCTGACTTCATGCCAACAATTCAGAAATCATCAAAACGAAGCTTATATGAATCAGATAATAAACTCTGATTTCCCTCACCAGATTACATGCATTTCTTTTTTACGGCACCACACGTGTGTTTTTGTTATATTGACACACACACATTATAAGTGTGTGTGTGTCAAACTGTGCAGAGAAAACTCCTGCTATCGTTTTCTGTTGTTTGTGTTAGTGTGTTTGTGATTGTACGTATACATGTGAGTGTGTGTGTTAATCTTGGCAGTATAATCCTGGCTGCTGCTGCCGTCCAACAGGAAGTCACAGAGAACTTGGGTCGTGCTGGAGTAAAGGTGACGGTTAAAAAGGCGATGAGAAGAACAGGAATACAAAACAGAAGCATGGAAAGCAGAGACTGTTCAAACTGGCCCTTCTTCTTGGCTTTAAAACCTGAGCTTCCTGATCCATGGGAAAAAAACTGGAAGTAATGAGATGAGAAAATCTGGTGGACCTAATTATATTATATTATATTGGAATGATAGCTTCTATACAGTTTGTAACTTTAAAGAGAGCCTTAAAACTGCAGTAATTAAACCGCTCCTAAAAAAGCATAACTTGGACACAACCGTAATGAATAATTACAGGCCAATATCAAATATTGTCCATGCTTTTATTTTCAGTAGACTCGACTACTGCAATAGTGTATTCACAGGGCTGACAAAAAAATCTATCAGAGAACTGCAGCTGATTCAGAACGCTGCTGCACGTGTCCTCACTAACACTAAAAGAGTGGATCACATCGGTCCGGTTCTGAAATCTTTACATTGGCTTCCAGTCGGCCAAAGAATTGATTTTAAAGTACTATTGCTAGTTTTTAAATCATTACATGGTTTAGGACCAAAGTATATTGATGAACTCCTACACAATTACGAGCCATCAAGGTGCCTCAGGTCTTCTGGGACGGGTCTGCTATCGGTTCCGAGAGTAACAACAAAACATGGAGAGGCAGCATTTAGCTATTATGCCCCGACACTCTGGAAGAAACTACCCAAATCATGCACGTCCGCAGAAACGCTTACCATTTTTAAATCGAGACTAAAAACATATCTCTTTGCCGCTGCTTTTAATTGAGCTGCTCATATTCGAACTACAGTATGCCTTTTAAACATGTATTGTATACCTGTGGTGTTTATTTTAATTATTTTAGTATCTTTGCTTTGTAATGCCTGTTGTAAAATGCCATTATATAATGTGTTTTTACTGTATTTATTCATAAAAAGTATTTTGATTTGTTTTGTAAAGCACTTTGAATTGTCGCGTACAGAAAAGTGCTATATAAATACACTTGCCTTGCCTTGCCTTGCCTTTGCAGAGGTGGGAGAAGTACTGTGCAGATTTGTCAATTTCAAAATAATATATATGATATGTTTTATAATGATTGATCATGAAAGTGTTCTCAAAGCTGGTAAAGGTGCAGCTAGTTTGAATGACTTTGTATACTGCAGGGTAGCTTGAGAATTTACTCCAGGTGGAACTAAAGTCTGATTTAACACTTGATTATATTTCACATCATTCATCCACATCTGCAAAGTAACTAAAGGTATTAAATAAATGGAGTGGAATAAAAGTACACCATTTACCTCTGAACTGTAGTGGAGTAGAAGTACAAAGTAGTAAAACATTAAAATACTCAAGTAAAGTACAACTATCTCAAAATTGTACATAAGTACAGT